TGCTGCCGCCCCTCGACGCAAGGAACGCAGGTAGGGGCAGGCCCCAGGGGAAGGGGAGGGAGAGACCGGGGAAGACCAGTGACAAGGACACGGGAGGCCATGCCTCGGAGACGAGGCAGGGAGGGGTGACCAAGGCGGTGGTGCCAGAGGAGAGTCTGGTGAGACAGGAGGCGACACGAGCAGGGGGCAGACTCAGGACCAGACCGGGACGCTGCAGCAAACACCTGACCCGACGCGGCCATCTGACCAGACTCAGCAACCGGAGGAGACACGGTAGTCAGGGTGTACAGGCTCGACCCAGGCTGACGGGTGAACGTGGCCAGGTATCGGCCCGTCCGAGTACACGAACAGTGGGTCACCCGCTGACCTCTAGGAGTGAACTGGTCAACCCACGCGTCCTGAAGGTCAGCTCCACTCACCAAGTTCGTGGAGAACGAGGGGAGGTGAAGGCCAGACAGAGAGCCAGACGGGACCGCCGGACACGGCAGAACCGTGGAGGAGTGTGCGAGGACCGGACCCATAGAGGGGTCAGCCAGGGAGACTGCCACTGGCTGTCCGAGCGGCGAGAGTGTGGTGCAATCGCGAAATAAGGAGCGGGAAGCACCCGAGTCAAGCGTGAAGGTGTGCAAGGCCTCACCAGGCGCAGTACCAGAGAGAGCAGACTCATCAGCACCTGGAGCAGTAGACTCACTAGCGCCTAGAGCAGCAGCCTCACCGGTACCTGGAGCAGTAGACGCACCAGCACCTAGAGCAGCAGCCTCACCAGCACCTAGAGCAACAGACTCTATACACAGGTAACAGGTACCCTCACCACTAGTAGGCAAGGCATACATGGCAGTGAGGATAGCATCATAGTCAAGAGCAAAGATATCGACCCTCTGCCTAAGCAGCTCCAGCCAGGTGGGGAGCTCAGCCTTGTCGCCAAACTCGGTACGCCAGGCGTCGCTCAGGCGGGCGAAGCAGCGGGACTACGTGTGACCAACCGTCCCGCCAGCCTGACCAGCCCGATCACATGTGCGAATGACATATGGGCATCGAACGGTACTCCGAGACCCTCTACTCTGAGCGTACCACTCACGAAGCTGCTGGGGCGTAAGTGTCTCGCGCGGACGCCGCTGCAGCTGCATCTGGCCACCGCCAGACGCTCCCGACTGACCAGCTCCAGGGCGACAGCCACGACGGCCATCGCCACAACCCCAACTAGCGTACCACTCACGAAGCTGCTGGGGCGTAAGTATCTCTCGCGGACGCCGCTGCAGCTGCATCTGGCCACCGCCAGACGCTCCCGACAAACCAGCTCCAGGGCGACAGCCACGATGGCCACCGCCACAACCCCAACTAGCGTACCACTCACGAAGCTGCTGGGGCGTGAGAGACTCGCGCGGACGTCACTGGAGCTGCATCTGGCCACCGCCTGTAGCAGCAGTAGCAGTCGTAGCAGAATTAGCAGCATTAACAGCAGTAGCAGCAGTAGCAGCGCGGGCAGGGCAGTGCGGCTCAGTAGAGCAGGGCTGCACAGCCCGACATTACGACGCGGCTCGGCTGGGCGGCTCGGCGCGGCTGAGCGGCGCGGCTCAGCTAGGCGGCGCGGCTCGGCTGGCAGGCAGGCGCAGCAGGCAGGCGAGGAGCGAGGGTAGGGCAGGTGCTCACCAGGGGCAGGAAGGGCAGGCGCTCACCGGGCGAGCAGGGCCGGCGCTCGGCGGGCGGCGGCAGGCTAGGCGCACGACGGCGGCGACGGCGGGGCCGCGTCAGCGGCTGAAGGGCAGGGCCGCAACCGCGGCAGGGCAGGGCCGCGACAGCTGCTGCAGGGCGGGGCCGCGACAGCGGCAGGGCAGGGCCACGTCGGCGGCTGGGTGGGGCCGCGACGGCGGTAAGGGGGTTCTGCGGCAGCTGCTGTAGGGCGGGGCCGCGACTGCGGCAGGGGGCTCCGCGGCAGCTGCTGCAGGGCGAGGCCGCGACTGCGGCAGGGGGCTCCGCGGCAGCTGCTGCAGGGCGGGGCCGCGACTGCGGCAGGGGGCTCCGCGGCAGTTGCTGTAGGGCGGGGCCGCGACTGCGGCAGGGGGCTCCGCGACGAGCAGGGACGACGCCCAGGGGGCGCCGCGACGAGCAGGGATGGCGCCCAGGGGGCGCCGCGTCACGCAGAGGTGACGTCCAGGGGGCGCCGCGAAGAGCAGGAGCGACGCGCGGCTCGGCAGGGTGGCACGCGGGCTGCAAGGGCAGTGCCTACAGGTCGCAGGGGCGACGCGCGGCTCGGCAGGGCGGCGCGCGGGCTACAGAGGCAGCGCCCACGGGCTGCAGGGGCAGGCACGGCTGCAGGGGCAGCACGGTCGCAGAGGCAGCACGCGGGCTGCAAGGGCAGCGCGGCTGCAGGGGCAGCGTAGGAAAAAAAAAAATCAGTAAGGGTAGGGCGGAACGTTCGGTGGGCCCTAGGAACGATTTTGCTCTGATACCATGTCACAAAGTATGAAACGAGAATGACTAGAAACAGGACAGTACAAGGTTTGTATAGGCAAAACCTAACAATACTGTACCCCATAAGGAGTTTCCCACTACAGCCTACAATATAGTTCTGATAGTTTGTTCATCCTGGTTGCTTTGATGCCCCTCACTTAGGGTACATTCCGCCGTGGACACCTGTCCCAATCGATGTGTCCCAATCGAGTGTACCGCTCCGAACCGAACTAAACCAGAGACGCGAAAATTTCGAAACTAGGGTGCAATTTGGTGTAATACGATGCAGTGCGGTAGAAACGATTGGGACACATCGATTGGGACATGTGTCCACAGCGGAATGTACCCTTAGCCTATGGGGGTGTGTCAAATATTGATATCTGTTATAGTCTGTAGTGAGGTGCTGTGTAGTGAGTACAACTCAATTAGGCTGTCATGCTTGTACTCCCTTGCCTTGCTACTCTCGACATTTTTCCGTTGCGCTCTACTTCTAAGAGTTGTGTATTGCGCGGGATACGTGGCAGCAAATTATCATGAAATTTGTTGTGCTGTCAAAGTTGACGGCTGTGCTGTGGAGCGGTGCTGTACAGCGTGGTGTTGTGTTGCTTGTCGGTATTACGTCAGTCTTGCGTGTGAAAGGGGTCCCTCAGATGGGTGCAATCGAAATCATGATTACGCACATGGGGGGTTATTGGTACGAAGTTTCCTAGAAGGTTCGTCTCGATACCGTCGCATTCAAGGTCCAGAAGACACGTACTTTGCATTGACAGAGTCACTAATGTTACGATATGAAGTTTTATGAGTAAGGCATTCCTGTATGCTGCAGGAGCCGACTCTACCGAGTACGAAGTCGAGGAGTCAGAAGAGTCGAAGCGACGCAGCAACCGTCTGACCAAGACCGATGCAGGCAGAAACATCTGAAATGAAAAGAGCGGGAACATGTTCAAAACGGGTTCCCGCGCCGCACGGTTTGAATTTGCTGTAATAAGGGAATGTACCCCTTAGAGTACATGGCTAGTCTAGGTCTTTTCGTATTCCCCTGTACTCTTATATAAACTCGATGTATGCATGCTTTTATCAACTCAGTCATTTACATTCACTCTGACCTGAGATTCAAAACTTCCGCTGCAACACTACTCTGCGATCAACCCTGAGCGATCCTTTGCTAAGTCCCACTTGGGATTGTAACAACTAAGAACACTACTTTGAGCGTGTATATAAATAGCATTGATGCCCTCGGAAGTCAGACTTTTTTCTCTGATTTGGCCTAAAAACTCTGATATTTCATTTTTTTCTTTAAGTGTACTTTGTAGATTTCAGACTTTTTAGGGTCTCAACTCTGAAAGTTTCAGATTGTTTTTAAGCTAACTCTGAAATTTCAGAGTTTTCCGGGAGTGTACTCTGATCATTCAGAGTACAAACACGATCTTAACTGGTGATTCGGACTTCACGGGTCACAGCAGATTCGCACTGTCAACGCAAAATCGCCTTGACACAGCAAATCCGCGCCTTACGGCACAAAATTTCGCCCAATCACAGCAAAATCGCCCCGAAACCACATATTTGCACTGTTAGAGCACAACAACTTCGCAAAATCACCAAACAATTCCACCTGACATTGCAGATTCGCTCTTTCACACCACAAGATTCGCCCTGACACAAAAATTCGCCCTGTCAGAGCATGTTCTCCCGGAAATCCCCTTAGTTTTGCATGTTTCGGTATCAGATGAATGCAACACTGAATACATTTGTGATGAAACATTGAATACCGTACATTGATTTCGAATGTTCAGACTTTTATTTAAAGACACTCTAAAATTTCAGCCTTTTTTTTTATGCCAACTCTGAGAGTTTCAGACTAAAACTGTGTACTACTAGTCTGACGAATCAGACAGGCCAAAAACGAAGGGCCTGATTAGTGTGAGTGGATCAGTGTTCACAAGTCCTAAATTCTGAAACTGCAGGGACCACAAAGTGACAAGCCTGTAATCACCATGAAATCAGGGTACTTACCCTGATAAAATCAGCCTGAACGGAACACGAGCAGGCTAGGCTAGGCTGGGAGTGTACCTACTCATGATACGGTACCATCTTCAAAGTTGAACAGCGGAATGGTTGCTCTGGGTTGGGAAGCAGTACGAATACGGTAGGAACCCTAGCAATATGCTGCACTCCCTACAATGCTGCTACTCACTGTAGCCTAACAAATTAGAACATTTGACACTGTTCTGCCCCATGCTTTTGTAGAACAAAGCTTTTGTGATTTAGGATGAGAAAATGCTTTCAGGTTGGGATATCGTTTCGCGCTACTCTGCACACTACATAATCCTTGAAGGAACCTGTTTCAAAAGTTTACATTGCCCCTGCTATAGCCTGCATTACTAAAAAGCCCTGATGATAGGGATTAGGTATCGAGCTACTGAAATGTGACACATTTTACCTCATCAATCGCCATATAGAGGGGAGTCTGTCGGGGCGCCCCCATTCAATATATACTCCTGTTTCACACCAATTCGCCTGACCCCCCTCCTCAGCTACCCCGCTGTCAGTCACATCGACATGCCTGAGCGCCCTGGCCTGTTTGAGCGAATGCGGCAGATTTGTGAGCGATGCACATCCCCGCAGATGCAGCACCTCCAGGCGCGGCAGCAGGCCCATGCCCACAGGCAGGGGTGCATGCGCGGGCAGCAGCTGAAGCTGGCCACACGGAGGGACGGCAGACAGGGGAAGGAGGCGGGCAGGTGAGTGAAGGAGTCACAGTAGATGAATGTCAGCCGGGCAAGTTGGGTCAGCGAGCCAAAGCCATCGGGGAGAGTGGAAAGCTTGGGGCAATTTGTGATGGCGAGGTGGACAAGGGAGGCGAGCGAGGAGAAAGAATCGGGAAGGCTGTGCACGCGAAAGCAGGAGTGGATGGAGAGGCGTTGGAGGGCACTTAGGGAGCCAAAATCAGAGGGCAGGGTGACAAGACAGTCGCTGCCGGTGATGGTGAGAGTGTGGAGGCGAGAGAGGAGGCAGAAGGAGGGAGGCAGGCTGGCAAGGACTGGAGACTTCAGAGACGCTTCTTGCAGGGAGGACAGCCCACCGAGAGTGTCTGGCAGAGTTGAAAACGATCCCTCAATAGTCACCCTAGTTAGTGCCCCAAAGGATCCAAACTCTCGTGGTAGATGCTCCAAGTGATTGCACCTTTCAGGCGGCCTCTCTTCTGCTCTATTTATCCTGGATAACATGCTCGTATATGGTGACGCTTCCTTCTCCGAAACACGCCCTTTCAGCTCAAGCGACTCCAGTGCTGCCAGCTCGCCGATGTTCTCGGGAATGAAGGGAATGAAGGGCTCAGAGTGAGGAAGGTGGGCGCTCCTTCTGATGCGTAACTTGTGGAGTGAGAGCAGGCGGGCGAGGTGAGGAAGGGGAGAGGGGATGAAAACGTCTGTGAGGTGAAGCTCGGTGAGGGAGGTGAGGTGGGACATGCACGAGGGCACAGTGAGGCGCTTATCTTCTAAGCTGCTGCTTTCGCTGCCACTGCAGCTGCTGTCGCTGCCGCTGCCGCTGCTGCTGATGTTGCTGGTTCTTCTTCTGCTGCTGCTGGCGGTGGAAGAAGAGTCGTACTCCAGTGATAAGGACTGGAGGGATGGGGCGAGAAGAGAGAGAGAGTCTGGGAGGCGGAGGAAGCGGCCGGAGAGGGAGAGAGAGCGGAGGTTGATGAGGCGGTCAAAGGCGGCCAGCACGAAACTTCTAGGCTTGAGATCGGTGATGGAGAGGTGCGTGAGCGAGCAGAGGGACCAGAGGTGGATGGGCACTTGCGGGCACTTTTCACCTAGGCTCATTTCTAGGTGCTGCAACGAGGGGCCGAGAGGCGAGCACCCGGCTTGAGCAGCGGCGGTGGCGGCGGCGGTGGCGGCTGCAGCGGCAGCGGCAGCAGCAGCGGCAAAAGCAGCACCCACACTAGCAGCTTCAGCAGCAAGAGCAGCAGCAGCAGGAGGAGCGGCAGCTGCAGCAGCGGCGGCGGCCGAGGCATCGGCAGCAGCAGCGGTTGCCGAAGCGAGGGCTAGAGGCAGATAGGCCAGCAGAGACCCTTTGGGCGCGTCCCCCTGCTCCACCCACGCCACCCTATCCACACTCACATGCGCCAGCGACGGCAACGCGAACAAGCCCACAGGAAATGATGCCTCATCCCCAGTAGTGAAGCGCCAGAAAATATCTTTAACTGAGACCTTGAGTCGTTGGAGGGAGGTCAGTCGACTGAGAGGGTGCAGCGGTAATGGGTACAGGCGTCCCTCGAAAGTCAAGTGGCGCAGCGGTGAGTCCCGAACGACGTCGTCTAAGGGGAGAGCCTTCATATTATCGTAGGAGCGAACAGTGAGGCGCTTTAGGGTTTTCAACCACGCAGGCGGGAAAGAGTGCACGCTGCATTTCTCGAGCGAAAGCTCTTCCAGCCTCGTCAACGCTTCGCACCCGTCCGGCCAGTCGCAGCTGCAGGCGCCGCAGCTGCTGCAGCGCGGTGATGCTATCCGGGAGTCGCCCGCACGGGAAGGCTATGCAGAGCGAGGTGAGCGACGAGAGGTCGCCCAGAGAATCGGGCAGGCTGAGCGCGCTGTTCATGCTGTCGACGATGGACAGGTGCGTCAAAGCTTTCAGCTGCCCGAAGTCCTCGGGCACATCCCACAGCATCGAACAGCTGAACTGCAGCTCCTGGAGCGCGGGCAGATGGCACAGTCCGTCCGGGAGCTGTTGGATCTTGATGGAGCGGAGGCGAAGCACGCACAGCGACGACAGCGACGAGATGGAATCAGGAAGCTTCGGGGCCTCGATAGCAAGCAGCAGCGCGAGCTGCTGTAACTGCGGCGCTGCGGCGCGGAAGAATGAGTCGAGCGATGAGAGGCTGATGGTGAAGGGAGGCGGTGCGGCGGTGAAACGAGGCTCGCCGAGGGTCAAGCAGGTGAGCTTGGGACAGGCGGCGAGCAGCGAGGTAAGGAAGCTATCATCGTAGAAATCGACGGCGCCGTCGCCCAGCGTGAGGGAAGTCACGCTCGGCGCGCGGGACAGCATGCGGAGGAGCGCGGGCGCGGAGAGCGTGGGGACGGGGAGCTGCGAGTCGTCGTGACGGTAATAGTCCGCACGTCGTGATTCGTAGTTAACGGTAATATTCCTCCCGACGAGGTGGAGAGTCGGCAGGAGCGCTGATGCGCACGACGGGCAGCAGCGAGGCCCATCGCTTCGACACCATCCCCAAGCCATGGCACGGGCTGACATCGGACTCGACGCTGGGCTACGTGTCGCTCGCGGCAGCGGCGACTTGAGACATCCCAAAAAAGGCGTGGTCCGTCGGGCATGGTTTTTTTAGGGTTTCGAAATGATACCTCTGTAATACTTACGGTTCAGTTACGAGAGAGTTCATTTTGCGATGTGCGCTTCGGGAAAGTTGCCCAGAGTTACCTGGTTAGTTGGGGCGCCAAATGCTCGCACCTGTGATTGGCTGTCGTTTCATAGTTACGGAAGGGTAAGATTTCGCGTCGGAATTGTCCAGCTCTCGCTTTGACTGGATGGTTCGTTGATGTTATTGATTCAAATTCGATAAATTGTATAGGGACCATTGAACAGTGCAATTAATAAAATGTACTTTCAAATTCGTTGTACTGTCATTTGCATTTTTCTGAACAAAATTAGGACGCTAATAGAAAGGACATATATGCTTAACTAGGACAATATGAAGTGCACTTGAATTTTATAATATTAACAAACTTAGTGTTCGGAGGCTGAAAACAACATATTGCGTAATTTTCCAAAATGATGTATTGCAGGCATGTATGCTATTTTCGTTCTTATTTCCTACCAGTAGATACGTTAATGTTTTGTTACCTTACCAATTTAGTTTCAACAATTTTCTAGTGGTGTTTTAGGGTGCAGTGAAAATTGATGTGCTCCATATTTTTCTTGGTGATGTTTTGTACTTACATATACGATCTTACACGTGGTTCTTATATCTAGTCCTTACATAAACGTTAACATGCCTAAGTCAGCGTCTACGTCGGCCACCGGCGATGAATGGAGCATTGGAGCCGCATAGCGGCATCGTCGCGGGCCGTAGTGACATGGTCGGCGTCGAGCAAGTCGACGACGAAGGGGAGCCGACGACAGGGGAGCAGTCGGCAGGGAAGCAAACGACAGGGTTTCAGTTGTCAAGGGCCAACTTCAATGGAGTAGCTCGGCTACGGCCCGTCGAGCGACATTGTGGAAGTGGTCCACAAAGCTAGCGACGAAAAAAGGGGAAGCCGTCCAGCGACAGCTTATCGAGCGACGTGGTGGAAGTCCCGATTAACAAGCCGGCGGTGCGACATTCCGCTCGCACCAACGTCTGCCCGGCATTCACCAACACGCTTCTCGACGACGTACATGCAGACATTGCACTGCCTAAGCTGGATCCCGACATGCACGCCGATATTGAACGGCGTTGGGACATCTCAACGATGACCATCAAGGAGGCGCATGCAAGCTGGAAGGGCAAGGCATTGAAATCGGCAATGGACAGGGACATACAAAGTCTCCTTGCCAACGGGGCACGGGAGCTCGTGCCTCGACCACGCGGCGTCAACATTATGAAGAACCGCTGGGTGCTCATGACGAAGTACCATAACGACAATACGGTCACCCTCAAGGAGGCGCGTCCGGTGGTGAAAGGCTTCACCTAGGTCTACGGCGGCGATCACGATGAGACGTATGCGCCGGTAGGCAGCTATGTCACACTAAGGTTTTTCCTCTCAATTATTGTTGTCATCGACTTGCATATGATGCAGCTCGTCATGAAGAACGCCCTCCTACAGAGTAAGATGGACCGCGTGTTATATACGGACCAACCGTTCTACTACTCCCACCGTGTGTGCAACCATTTGAAGAGCCTGTACGGACTCATGCAGAGCTCGCTGCTATGGTACTCGTCGCTCGACGCCGTCTTGACCGGCGTCGGCTGGAGCAAGTGCCAGGTCGACGAAGCCTAATACTTCAAGGTCGGCGACAACGAAGTGGCATGCTGGGTGCTCGTCTACGTCATCGACCTTCTTGCCGCTAGCATCAGAGCCGTGATGCTAAAGGAGTTGCGCGAGCTACTGTAGAGCGCTTTTGTGCTGTGCAAGATCAGCCCAATAGGAAGTACTTGGGGCTGGAGATCGGAGCAGCCCGTCGGCCTGCAGCTCGACCGGGAGGCCGACAGAGCAGCCCGTCGACCTGGAGCTCGTCCGGGAGGTTGACGGAGCAGTCCGTCAACCTGCAGTTCGACCGGGAGGTCGACGGAGCAGTCCGTCGACCTGACAAGTGAGCAGCGGTCGACGAGGGGAGCTCGGCGACAACCGCTGGCGGTTCTGGTCGACGGAAGGGGTCCGTCGACCAGGGGTAGCTCGACGGGAGTTGTGGTCGACCAGAGGCACCTGGTGGTCGACCAGAGGGACCCGGTGGTCGACCGGAGGCACCTGGGGGTCGACCAGAGCACCTGGGGGTCGACCAGGTCGACCGGGTAACCTGCTCGACGAGTTCTGCGGAGGCACGCGAACGTCGTCGAGGTCGCGATGGCGCAGGCGACTTCGGGCTGGTATCACGAAGTCGATGTGGCTTGTCAGGCGCAGACAGCAGCCGATGGATGCCCAACGAGGCAAGTTGTTCCAATCGTCTGCGCGCAGCTGCGAGCGTGCACACTCCTGTCTTCTACGGGGCAACGTTGGACAGCCGCTCTGCTGCAGCGTTGGCACGCCGTCGACCTGCTCTGTTGGCAGGCCGCCTTTCTGCAGTGCTGGCGCGGATCCTCTATGCAACGCTGGTAGGCGGTCGACCAAGCTGTACTGGCAGTCGACTAGGCTAGCTGCAGGGTTGCTAGGTGCCTGATGTAGTCATTGTTGTCACTGCTTGCTCAACTATTATGTAATTTCGACTTTGCTAGTGGAAACTGTTGCCGATTTCTCGCGTGAATGTGCAAGCACTAAGGAACTAAACAAAGCTACGATCACTCCTAGTAGTTCGTGCCCACCCCCGTAGTCTAGCTCACTACCGTTATCGAGTGAATCTCCGCAACGGCACCGCGTGTCGCACAGTCCTATCCTTGCACAGTTTTCACTGCTCAGTTGTTTGAAACACCATATCTTTCTACTAGATGCTGCAAATGGCACCAAATCTGTCAAGCCTCCTCACAATATAGTAAATGAATGTTTGATCAAGAGAAACCTTGTTTAAAATGACAAACAGATGTCGAGAGAGCACTGCGTATCGCACAGGCCTATCCTTGCACAGTTTTCACTGCTCAGTTGTTTGAAACACCATATCTTTCTACCAGATGCTGCGAATGGCACCAAATCTGACAAGCATCCTCGAAATATAGTAAATAAATGTTTGAAAAAGAGAAACATTGTTTACAATGACAAACAGATGTCGAGATAGCACTGCGTGTCGCACAGGCCTATCCTTGCACAGTTTTCCGTGCTCCGTTGTGTGAAACACCATATCTACCTAACAGATGCTGCAAATGGCACCAAATCGGTCAAGCATCCTCACAATATTAAATGAATGTTTTATTAAGAGAAACCTTGTTTGAAATGACAAACAGACGTCGAAACAACACCGTGTGTCGCACAGGCCTATCCTTGCACTGTTTTTACTGCTCAGTTGTTTGAAACACCGTACCTTTCTACCAGATGCTGCGAATGGCACCAAATCTGTCAAGCATCCTCACAATATAGTAAGTGAATGTTTGATCAAGAGAAATATTATTTAAAATGACAAACAGACGTGGAGACACCACCGCGTGTCGCACAGGCCTATCCTTGCACAGTTTTCCATGCTATGTTGTTTGAAACACCATATCTTTCTACAAGATGCTGCAAATGGCACCAAATCGGTCAAGCATCCTTACACAATATTAAGTGAATTCTTGATCAAGAGAAACCTTGTTTAAAATGACAAACAGATGTCGAGACCGCACCACGTGTCGCACAGGCCTATCCTTGCACAATTTTCATTGCTCAGTTGTTTGAAACACCATATCTTTCTACCAGATGCTGCGAATGGCACCAAATCTGTCAAGCATCCTTGAAATATAGTAAATGAATGTTTGATCAACAGAAACCTTGTTTAAAATGACAAACAGACATCGAGACAGCACCGCGTGTCGCACAGGCCTATCCTTGCACAGTTTTCCGTGCTCTGTTGTTTGAAACACCATATCTTTATACCAGATGCTGCGAATGGCACCAAATCTGTTTAGCATCCTCGAAATATAGTAAATGAATGTTTGATCAAGAGAAACATTGTTTAAAATGACAAACGGATGTCGAGACAGCACCGCGTGTCGCACAGGCCTATCCATGTACATTTTCCCCTACTCGGTTGTTTGAAATACCATATCTTTCTACCAGATGCTGTGAATGGCACCAAATAGGTCAAGCGCCCTTAAAATATAGTAAAAGAATGTTTGATCAATAAAGATCTTGTTCAAGATGTTGATATGACACCGTGTTTCGCAGAGGTCTATCCTTGCACGGTTTACAATGTTTAACTCTTTGAAATACCATATATTCTTACGAGATGCTGCAAATGGCACCAAAATTGTCCAGCATAAAGTAAATATAGAAAATGAATATAGTAAAACAGGGTATTAGCAGTAAAATATCAGTACATAAAGTCTTTTTTTTTTCCGAACATATAGGTGCGTATTTACTCCATTTTATGCCTGATCAAGTGTATGGTGTGAAAGAATGAGGAATGATGGACTAGGAAATGAGTTGGGTACAAATATGTAACCCTAGAAAACTGTACCCCATACTGTCTACCCCACTACAGCCTAGAAAGACTATAGCATAAATGTTTGACACACCCCCATAGGCAAAGTGGGGGAGAACAAGGGGTCACAAGACCAGTCAAGCAAGGCAAGCTCAGGGTGGATCACAATGTCACCACACATTCCGAGCACAAGTTCAAGGCCACAAGGCCAGTTCACATGCAGGATTATATATATAAAGGTAAACAAGCAAGTGCAGGTATAGATAGATCACAGTACAAGCAAGGTCAAGAAGTGAGCAAGTGAGGCCAAGTAGGCACAAGACCTAGCATCGTACAAAAGCGCTGATGATCACAAGGCTGAAGTGCCTTGGTAAAGATATCAGCAGTGTTGGCCCTAGAGGCCACGTAAGCAAGGCGCAGCTGACCATGCTGCTGCAGCTCACGAGCAAGGAAGTAGCGAAGAGCAATGTGCTTCGTTC